GCAGCACGATAAGGCGCGCGGGTGTCCTACCAAGAAAGGAATTACAGAGCACACGTGTATGGATGAGGGTTGTGCTGACACACTACATAGTAAGCACTACACAGTAATCTTACTTGAGTCATATATAGAGCAGATTCCAGCATTTCCAAAATTTCCAAAATTCTCTCCCCTAACTTTCCAGATTTCCAAAATTTCCAAAATTTCCAAAATTTCCAAAATTCCAAATTTTCCAAAATTTCCAAAATTTCCAAAATTTCCAAAATTTCTAAAATTTCTAAAATTTCTAAAATTTCCAAAATTTCCAAAATTTCCAAAATTTCCAAAATTTCCCGACCTAGTCGACAGGATTTTTCCAAAACATAAGGGCGGACTTTTTGGAAATTTTGGAAATTTTGGAAATTTTGGAAATTTTAGAAATTTTGGAAATTTTGGAAATTTTGGAAATGCTGGAATCTGCTCTATATATGACTCAAGTAAGATTACTGTGTAGTGCTTTTAACACTAACGTTGACATTTATATTAATGCTTTTATTACGAATATGCACATTACTAATTCTATTATTAACATTAATACTCCTACGCCTACCAATAGTCATATTCATATTGATATTAATGCCAATACTAACAGACACCTGCGTATATTAATGTCCGCAGATATACATACCACTATCTGAAAAGCAAATATATCAATGCATTCGTGTACTAACGTAGTATATTCGTATTTAATTTGTCATATACCCAGTTTCCAACATTATGCCAACATATTGATATACCTATAAGCTATTAGGGAAAATACGAATATAGTAAATGTAGTAGTAGACCACTATAATAATATACTAATATACTACTACGTTAACATACGAATATCATGATACACCAATATACTAATGTACTCATGCACCAACGTACTAATATATTCGCGCAATCTTCAACTCTGCAAATATACTATTGTTCGAATACATTACTGTATTATTATATTAAGCTCAAAATGTACGAATCAATCAGTATATTCACATATCAAAACTATTTCTAATACTGATACTAATACCAGCACTTCTGTGAATAATAAACAGATACTAAAACCAGCATTCAGACTGATACTAATACTAACACGAGTACTATTACTGACATTGACATCGACATTGGCACTAACACCAGCACGAACATAATCACGAGTTCATATTTACTATTATTGATATGTATACTTTTATTCAATACTAATACTAATACTGATGCTAATACTAATACTAAATACCAATACCAATACTAGTACTAAAGCAATACCCATCCTAATATCAATACTACCACAAAACTATTACTCATATGAACACTGATACCAGGATTAGGACTACTACAAACAATGACAGCAGTACTAAGAATAGAACCAAGAACAATACATATTAATCCTACAGAAAACAACATAATACGGGCCTGCGTTTTTAGGGTTACAAGGCACGTGGTCTTGATGCATCTTTCGCTTTCGGGCGTGCTGGGAACTTCACTGGCTTGGACTTTACCTTATTCATAGCCTTTGCGATCGAATTCGAACCATGAAGGTACTAAATTCGTTAACATGCCACGGTGCAGGGTGTATTTGTAGTCTCGCTAGGAGATCTTCGGAGGAGGTGGAGGGGGGGGGGGGCCGGCCAAAAAAAAAAAAAAGAAATAAAAATAAAAATAAAAAAAATATTATATTTTTTTTTTTTTTTGGCCGACCCCCCCCCCCCCCCCCGCCCACGGGGCGCATTCTTTTCCTTTGTTTGTACGCTGGGTACTGCTCGCTGCAGGTCTTGGCCTCAGCGTCTGCGCGATGCACGGCCGTCAGTATGTGGGAGTGTGTATGTTTGTATTTGTACTGTATATACAGTAATACATATTACCAAATATTGTCAGTAAAACAACAACCTACAATAGACAAGCTGTCGATGCGTTGCTACTGTACACACGTCTCTATTCTCATTACGGTTCCACTGTGAGCTTGAGATGTTACCGTATGCGTCGTGTGTATGCTGCTGCAGTTTTGCAAAAGTATACGTTCAGCCATCGTCCGTAGGGATAGTTCTCAGAATGGCTCGACGCCGATGCTCGACATGTGGCGCATGGGGCAGCGACAGATGCAAATGCAAGAAATCGAAAAGCAGCAACCAGAGCAGTGGTTCCATTGCTACGACGACAAAGAAAATCACTGCCAAAAGGACGGCGAAGGATTTGCCTTCGAAGCCCAGCTCCACTGACAAGGACATTGAGAAGAAGCAGCTTGAATTGGAACTTGAGAGAATGAAGATAGCACGTCTACGAGCGGAAGCACACGCGCGGGAAGAAAAAGAGAAAATCAAGTTACATAAAGAGTATCGCAAAGAGCATCAATGGCAGTATTGGGGCCATTCGCAGAAGTTTCACCGTTCGCGAGAACACCATAAACAGTCGAAGACTGTCAAGAATGCGAAGAATTGGCATTGGCGCCATTGTCACAACGATCTCTTTCCAGATGAAGAATTCTTGTCAGCACGGAATGACGGCATGAACTAGGAAATCATAAACGCGAGTTCTTTCTGTTTGTGGCTTTTTCCTGTGTCTGAAAACTTCGCATTATGTGGAGTGCTTTTTCCGTGTCTGGAAGCTCCACGTTATGTTGGATAGCTTTAGTAGAAATCGTATAGACGAGGCAGTACGAGTATAACACAAAGCGAACAAATAGACATATATACACGTGCGGACACGCACTATTGAATAAGCATGTATGTGTGAACATGTTTCAAGACAGCTGTACACACATGCTGGACTACATATGCACGTATGCACATGCGAAACATCACATGGTTTGTGTATTAAAACATACCGAATAAATACAGATACGTTGTCCCGTGTCCCTTTGTCCCTCTGTTCCCCTGTCCCCCTGTCCCCCTGTCCCCCTGTCCCCCTGTCCCCTTGTCCCCCTGTCCCCCTGTCCCCCTGTTCCCCTGTCCCCCTGTCCCCTTGTCCCCCTGTCCCCTTGTCCCCCCTGTCCCCCCTGTCCCTTGTTCCTTGTTTGCCTAAACTCCCAACGGGGTAGGTACTTTCAGCAATGGCATGGCTATATGCTCACATGTATATATGTCTGTTGCTCAGTAGCTCAAGTGGTTTTACCGACTTGACACAAGCTCTCTCTTCGTTGCAGAACAAAACACTTGCTGTCCGTGTGCAGGGCGTTGCCTTAGATCCCACGGGCCTGAACTGGTCTATACACTCCCACAGGAGTAACCCTAAAGGGGTGTATCGGCTCACCCCTGCAGGGTCTGGGAACACCGGGCCGTTCTCTGTCCAGCGCTCGATGTGGGAATCAAGGGCGTGAGATTGCGAATCTTAACAGGAGACGGTTTATGTGTCTGCCTGTGATGATATCACAGCGGGCGGGCTTGATGGAACTTCCAGTTTCCTTGGGTTCCGTAACAAACGCAAAAATCAAGCTGTCCCCTATCGAAATCGAATCTGTTCATCCCGTGTTGTCCTCTGTCTCATGCTTGATGCGGGAATTGAGGGCATGTGATTTCGAACCCTAACAGGAGATGGTTTGCGTGCTTGCCTGTGGTGATATCACAGCGGGCTGTCTTAAGAGAACTTCCGGCTTCATCGAGTTCTGTAACACATGCAAGAAGGAGGTCCCGATACGGAGTATGCCGCCATTCAGAATCCTGCCTATAAGGTCATTGTATCCTGGAGATACGACGGCCACCACCGAATAGTTCCGTTTTGCACCTAACACGCTCCTAGCCATTACAAGCACAAGGAGTTCGAGTCAGTACACATGCCTCAGCAGCAAATGGCTACTGGAGTATACTCTGCGTTAATCAAGTTGGTCGTTCAATGTTTGTAGGCAGCAGCAACATTATAGTTGCTGTGATGCGATACTTCCAAGATGTGGCGGATGCGACGCGAGATGAATGCCGTGGTCCACAGCCGTACCGCCATGGCCTGAGTTTCTTGAGGCATGTTCAGTGGAGCTTGCTGCATTGGATGTCTTCCCGCAGCGCGCTCTATGCAAGGTAGCTGAGGGTAAGTAGCAATCGCTTTGAGCGATCCGGTCCGATGTCGTTTCCTACTAGAGATGGTGGATTCCAAGCGACCAACACTCCAAGAACCCAAGCAGAGCGTGTTTATGCTCGCAGGACGGCAATATGGCGGCTCGTGGAAAACAATGCCTATATGTTCGACAAATATCCAGAACTACATCGGCTATTGCCTGATCCTGTGAGCAGTATGCTTAGCAAACGTGCATGGGAGACTCATTTGTTCGTGGTCCGAACAGTCCTTCGTCAACTGGAGGACACTGCTCGGAAGGAGGCCCATAACTTCTTGCTACGCCATTACGAACAACTTCTGCGACGTCGCCCAGATTTACGCGATGCTCTCCCTGATCCCGCTGAAGACTCCCTATCCGACCAGGAATGGGGGGAAGCTCTCGTCGCTGCTGTCCAGACGATAATCTGGGCGGCTTGAAGGGTCGTTATCTCTGAGTTGGCAGGACATCGGATTGTACGTGGACGGCAAGCTTTGCAAGTCGTGGTACCACCCATGACAGCTTGGTTTTGGATAGAAAACAATAGTCTGCATGCCTGCCGTGTTTTCCATGCGGACCCTAGCCGTGTGCGATCACCATGCTGAAGTGCTGTCTTTCCATGTTGTCTTGCTTTGAAGTTGCCACGATAGCTCAAATCTTGCACATCGCTCTTGTCCCTGCGTCACTCTGCTGTCATCATGGCCAGTCCTTCTCAGCCAGATACAATGGCAGGCGAGTTGGAGCACATCCTGCAGGAAGAGTTTCCTGAGTTTGCTCCCCAAAACCCTGCGGAGGGTGCAGGCATCTCGTCGCCGGAAGCCCCTCCTCCACCTGCCAAGCGCCTGCGTGGTCGCAATCTGTTGTGTCCTTAAACTCTGCGGTCAGTCATGCAGTGATGCAGTGAAGATGTTTTGAGAATAGTGTTTCTGTTGCCTACACACCAAGGTTTCGAGCATTCTCGGACATGCAGTTGGATAATGCTGACGAAGCTCCCCCTGATGTAGTTCTACCGGACGTCCAGCCAAGAGATGGTATGAAGGAGAAGGTGGAGGCTTATCTTGTATGGTCAGACGAGAACTACTCCATGTACCAGGATGATGTGCGGAAGCTTGTGAACATGGCAAGGTTCCTGTGCGAAGCGCACATGGCCAATTACCTTATGTCCAACAAACAAAAGCTAGCTCTGTGACAACTTCCAACAAGGTATGGACAGCGAAGTGGTCGAGACGGGTGGCAGAAATGATCGCGTCGTATAGGAAGCAGTGGGATGATGACTGCAGCACTATCACCCCGCTTTCGAAGCTCTTCCTCGTAGAGTGGGACACGGCCTTGCCTCGCTCACAAGGAGTATGCTTTAGTGACGTCTACCTCAACGCGAAGTGGCAGGTGTCCACGAAAAGTCCGGCAAATGACTGTTACCTTCGCATTGGCTATCCGTACTTCTACGAGAAGACACTGCAAAATCACCCAGGCATCTCGATTCAGGAGTTTCGCAATGTACTCCGAACATTCCTGGAGTCTGTCTATTTTGACAACGAGCACGCTCTGCAGCTTAAGCTATGCTTCATGAAAGCAGCCTTTGCACAAGTCTGCACGTCCAGGATTCTCTTCTTGGTGGGGAAAGGCGGCAGCGGCAAGGGAATGGACGCCATCCTGGATAAGGCCTTGTTTGGCAGCGAAGCAAGCTCAACCTTGGACTGTGGAGTGTTTCTAGACCGTTCAGAATTCCGGAAGTCTGCAGGGTTGTCCTGGAACAAGGCGAACATTCGAATCCAGGAGATGGACGAAAAGTCACGCTTCATAGCCGACATATGGAAGCGCTTCGTAGTCAATGAAGAGCTCGACCTGCGAGTGAACTATGGCTTTACAGTGAAGCGAACCTTCGGCGCTAGCATGAAAGTGCAGGAACTCAACTATGAGAACATACCGACAATTGAGGAAAGTGGCGATCGTCGCCGTTCCTGTGAGCAATTGAAGCGTCGCGTCGTGTGTGTTCGTCTGGGGAAAGCACTTTCACCACAGATGAGAAATGTGTTGATCACACAAAGGGTATCTACAAGCTTCTTCCACAAGACACACTCACATACTACCTGTCACACCCCATTACGGCTGCGCTGTTTCTGCGTGAGTGGTGTATTCCTTTCTTCAAGGAAAACAGCATGAATGAGTGCTTGGCGATGATCCAGGACCTTGGTTCTGTCCACACCGACCTCGTTACCGATACGGACTGGCTCGCTACATGTCTTTCGGGCAATGCCTGTTTGCCGCCCGGATCCGGGGATGTCAAGGTGGACGAAGCGAATGACTTGGTGAAGATAGCTCATTCCAATACACCAGCTAAGCGCCTTGTCAAGCAGTATCTCATCATGAAGATACAAGATCTGCCGGGTGCCGCTTCATCGAGTAAGGGCCGTCGCACAAAGATGTCCACACTGGTTGAGGCCGTCGACTATGCGTCCCTTAGACTCCTGCGGCAGCTGGACTCGGGTTGCTTCGAGAAGCTCTTGGTGGATTGGAACTTGCTCACGCAATGCATGGAAAGGTACGGGGGGGCGACCGTATTCGGCACGTTCAATGATTGGGGGTGTCCTTTCGATCTTCTGCACATTCAAGAGAAATGGGAGCCTGGAACGTATGAGACAGAACATCGCTATATGGAGCAGCACAGTGCCAACCTTCTGACCATGTCTTCGTCTGTTAGTCGAACCTGCTGTTCTCTAAGTGAAACGGCAGACATGATGTCGCTTGTTGACTATGCTCATGGAGGTACTGATCGCCGACAAGATCTTCTCCGAGTATATATTCAGCGCCATGAACGTGATGGCGACCGTGTCGAGCATCTTTCTGTGTTACACGAAGAATATTATCAGCAAGCACATTACGGACGATGCATGGCCCGAGGTCCCGCAGGACAAAAATTGACGCGGGAAGCCAGAGACGCAGCTTTTGGATCATTCTGTGCCGAAGTGGATGTAGCTTGCTGCCATCCACGTCTCTTGGTGGCAAGACTGCAGAAGTGCGGCTTCTGGGATCCTCGCAAGTTTGTCATGCTCAGTCTGTTCACGGAGAACTATCGGGCCTGGCGGAAGTGCCTTGCGGACTACACTCAGGAGACCATGGACTTCGGCAAGAAAGAATTGATCCGCGTCTTCTACGGCGGCCGACCCTCCGTGGAAGCACCGTTCCTTCTGAAACTCTGCGACGAGGTTCAGAGGGCTGCAGACTTACTTCTCGGTCACGGTTCTGCCAAGACGTGGTCGACGCTATATGCAGACAGACGAAACCCAGAATTCAGCAGATTGTCCGCTATGCTGTCTTTCGATGAGGCCGAGCTCTTGGAAAAAATCATTGCGCCGTTCGGAAATCGCGTAAATGTTCTCATCTTCGATGGAGCGTACATTCGATGTGATGGCTTCTACCATGAGCTTGAAATTGCCAAGATGTGTGAGACCGTTTCTGATGATTTGCACGAGGTGGAGATCAAGTCCTGGCCGCGGAACTCAGTAAACATGGGCTTCACTCGATTACTATTGCGCAAAGGTGCTGTACCCGAATCCGGCGACCGTGCTCTTCTACATGGAAACTGCTTGGTGCACGCCATGCTTGCTTTGTTCGATGACCTGGATCCATGTTTCTTCGACAAGCTCGTTGTAGATGAAACTGGACTTTCAGCAGCAAGGCTCAATGATTACATGCGTGACAATGCATCCGACGGCATAGCCAGTGGCATGACACTCGTAAGCAAGCAAACCATGGATGCACAAGAGTCTGGAATGAGCAAGTGGATGTGCTTGGAGTTGATCGGAGACGAAGAATATCACTGGTGGGGCGTTCTCTTCCCAGAGACCGGTGGCGTTCTGATTGCGGATAGCCGCACAGGAGGCTGCATGCTCTGGGCGTCCATTCAGACTTTCATGGAAGGTGTCGACACGGCGACAAATCTATATTACTTCCAGGTGCTGCACATTGACACATCCACTGAGCTTCCCAACGGTGCCGAGTACCACTTGTCTGGAAAAGGACCAGCCAACGCAAGATCGAAGGACGCCTCAGCCAGCAGAAAGCAGATCACGACATCTCTCACAGAATGTTGTGATTGTGGAGCTCCATTGGCTCGTCGGGACGAGGTCACTGGTCGTCTTTACACGCTAGAAGGCCTTCAACCCGTGGTTACCACGTCGAAGAGATGCTCGTCCAAGTCCTGTCGAACGACGCACCACTACAACTTCCGCACAGTGGAGGGTCACAAGTTCCACACCATGCCGCTGGAGGACATGGAGTATGTCTTCGTTAACAGCAAGGTTGGTTTCTGCAGAAAGTTCTTGGACTACCATGCGCAGTTACAATCTAAGCAGCAACGCCATTGCGTTCGCGCAGGCTGAGACTCTGTGGGACGATGCGGACCAACATCACAGATGGGACCAGGAGTACTGTGCTGTACAACTGTACTACGCAGTACTACAGGAAGGTTCTGAGATGTGGGCCGTAGAAGGCAAAGCTGCCTGCCAGAAGAAGCTGTGTAACATCGACATAGTGAACCCCCTGTCGAACGGCTTTCTGGAAACGTACAGGAAATGGTGGCATGACAACCAGCTCAACAAAAGAGAATGGCGACTGGTGAAGGAGGTTGTTATGGATGGGCACCAGAAGGTGGCTGCCAAATGCTCCGGGACGCCTCCAGCACATGCAGGCAGACCACGGAAGGATGGAAAGACTCCTCTTCGACAGAACGGCTGGTTTATGGCAGTAGATCCTTCGACCGGACTCGTCCTGTCCGTGTCTGCCATGCAAGACCCGGAAAATAATGAGACAGCCACCAACGTGCTCCTCGACGTGGTCTCGCGAGGCTCCGAGATCGATTGCGTGATATACGATAGAATGTGCGCCTGCTTGAAGCATGCTACGGCCCAAAAGCCACTAAAGCAAATCAAGTACTGGTGCATTGATCGTTTCCACGCCAGGGCCCACTCTCCGAAGTGCGAATGTTCGCCTCTGCAGCATCGGCGCCTGGATCTACGTCTTCGCAATGTCAACTCGTCCATTGCCGAGCAAACCTTCTCTTGGTTCCGCAACTACGCCTCTTCCTTCAACACCAAGGCCACGAACTCGCACATGTTCTTTGTCTTGGTCTACGTCAAGAAGCATAACCTTCTCATGCGACGCAACTACATGAAGCACTTGAACGCCTTCAGCGCGAAGGCCAAAATCGCACGGGCTGCTCGCGTACTGCGAAAGCCCACTTCCCACAAGTATGTCTGTCGTCGCCCCGCCTCGTCTACGTCGTCCTCTGCCAAGAAGAATAAGTCCCGCTCCGTCAGGAAAATCCATCTGAAGTCCAAGGCCATGAAGAAGTAGAATAGTGCTGTCCAGATTGTTTTGTTCCTGTGTCATATGATCACAGACTCCAGACTGATTTCACATGTATGTCAGAGCGACTTCCACACAGGTATGCATGCGATTATGTGAAGTAGGGCATGTCTTCGCATCGGTAATTAGTCATGTTCCAGTGTATGCTTCAACTTCATGCGTAGTAGTGCTGCCATGTCGGGTGGTTTGAAAGTAACGACAGTAACAAGAATACAACATATGTGGAGTCTGACGATGAGTAGAGTTCGCGACGACTTCTGTCGCCTGGACGTCCGTACTGCGAAGGAAAAGTATTGCTAGGTGCTTGCACAGCAACGTCCGTTTTACATATGCGGCATGTCGTACGCGATGAGACGAATATGACCTGCATGAGGTCACGACCTCAGCCTCTTCAAACGCTCGGCTGTCAGTTGCTGTCTTTGATGCCTGTGTTTTGCAACACGGGTTTACAGCAAAACACGAAGATAACTGAAAGCCCTGTCGGAAAACACGGGCCCGTATTCCGTGGCACTCTCTAATCCTAACACTAACACTAGTACTAATACTAGCTACTAATTCTAATACTCATACTCATACCAATACTAATGTCACCACTACTGCTGCTACTACTACTGCTACTACTACGACTACTACTACTACTACTACTACTACTACTACTACTACTACTACTACTACACATACTTAATACTAAAACTAATACTGATACTCATACTAGTCACTAATACTAATACTAATACTCATTCTAATACTAATACAAATACCAATACTAATGCTACCACTACTACTGCTGTGCGACAACTATTGCTAGTACGACGACTACTACTATTAACATCAATACACATACTTAATGCTAATACTAAGAGTAATACTAATTCGAATACTATTACTCATACTAAACATCCTAATATCAATACTACCACAAAACTAATACTAATGCTAACACTGATACAAGAATTAAGATCTACAAACAGTAATAGTGGTACGAAGAGCAGAATTGAGATTAAGATTGGGACTAGGAGCGCTGCATGCGTGTGAAGAAATTTCCAAAAATTGCAAACCATCTAAAAGAACATTTTGGAATTGAGTTTGGGAGAAGTGTCTGTCGCCTATCCGTTGACAGATCCTGCCTGGGGACGCACGCCACCCTTCCCCTTCCCCACGACGGTCTGTCATAGGGGGGGGGGGTGAGCATATATATATATATAGATAGATAGATAGATATATATATATATATATATATGTATATATGTAGGTATAAACTAACATCTGTCTATCAAGGTTGGCTTGTAGGTAAGTACCTATGTTCCACCCCAAATGTCACAAGTATGTTGTGGCTCGCAACTTATCTTTCATTGTCCGAGCTTGCGGATGAGGGCCCAACATTTTGTACGATGTTTTGGAATGTTGGAAGCCAATCACGACTCTCAGTGTCGGGTTGTGGGTTCGCCACCCATCATCTTCTTAGACGGTTTGGACCATCATAATTGGGGGTGTCGAGACCAGGTCACCATGAGTCGCGGTACAAGGACGTCATTCCCATTTTTTAACGTGTAGAATGTATTACCCATCATACTTTTGTCATGTATAAGTGTCATCCGTAAGTAATGTCACCGTTTTCAGGTGTGGGAGCCGCATTCCCAGTGGTGGACAAGAATATCACGTGTAATCTTGTTCATGGAGGGATGTTTCATTTGATAGGACAGGATTGGTGGCACACTGGAAAGCTTGAGATGATCGCGTAGTGCGGGAATTGGAATGCCAAAGGCCGAAGGCCCCAGACATACCCTGCTTACCTCCGGATCTCCGTCCATAAGGTCCTGCCTGCGGGGGGGGGGGGGGGGGGCGCCAAAAAAAAAAAAAAAAATACCAGAGAGCAGCCCACCATTTTTTTTAATTTTTTTTTTTCGCCCCCCCCCCCCCCCCGAGGCCTCCAGGCCTCCATGCCCACAGCCACACCTTAAGGCCGTGCCCTTATGCGCTCCACCTTCGGGATCTCTTTTGAACGATTGTCCTGTACTTTATCTCTCGGACAAGTATTCGGTCAGGTCATGTCAATGGTTTCGTGGAAATTCAAAGTAACAATTCACAACACGTCGTATTTGTATGCATCTAAAACAATGTGGTTGGAAGTGAAAAGCTTGCTAAGCTTGCCATCTGCGAACGCAGGTGAAAACATGAACACACGAAAATACACGCCGCCAGGGCGTACCATACTGTAAAAAAAACCCTAGACCCGAAACCAAAGAACCAAGCCCAAACTGCCTCCTCTGTGGGTCGACTTGGTGCATCACGCGATGCGACCGGGGGGTTTTGGGTGTTAGAAGATAAGAGGTTTTAGGGACGTTTAGGGTGTGGGACTCGTCTATGGTCTTTGGGGGTTAAGGAATCCAACTAGGGTCTTGGGTGCCCGGCAACAAGTTCCACCAGGCCAAGGCAGGATGTAGGGAGTAGGGGATTTAGGTTAAATTCAGTGCATACTCCCAAGTCCTTGCCCCTCACCTTAACAGAGCCTTGCCTTACACCGAGCGTTCCCTGAAAGCCAAAGAGGGGTGTGTGATTCACATGCAGGGCGTAGGTTTGCGGGTTTCAATCTCAGGGAGCAATGTATAGCATCTGTTCAAGCTTGCCAAGCTTGTTGGTTACTTTTCCAAGAGCTGGCCGTGTCCTCTCATAAGACTTCGACAAGGATCTGGAAAGTTTTGTAGTCTGTTGGTCTAGGAGTGATCCGTAGTCTATAATATAGGTATCATGAATACTACTACCATAATTGTCATTGTTGCTATCATTGTTGTTACTGTTATCATAAAGATTCTTTTCATTGTTGCTACTATTCGAAATCTTGGACTAAAGAGCTGGACCTTGAGCGGTTCGATGTCGCAGCTCGATGGCTGAACCCCGCAAATGATCTTTACTCAAGCTTCGGATTCAATGTGCACCACAGCCGGAACATGAAGCTGAGGCAGACAGCCTACCTGATGGCGTTTTTTGAAGAACACGAAACAGAGACGTGAACAGTTGGACGAGGTAGGTTAAGAAGTTGAGTGTATCCGGGAACCCTACCCATTCCAAATTCCAGCTGCAGCCCCCCACGACCTACGTGTGTGACAGTTAGGCGTTTGGCCTGCAGGCAGCAACCTCCCAACCCGAAGTCCACAAGAAAAGAGCCGACTTTGTTACAGGCCATGGTTTAGGGTACTTCGTACTGCAACCACACCTACCGCAGCTTAGAGGGTCTCTAGGCCACGGCCATGCGCTGGGAAATGATGGCTCGATGCTTCCTCCTGCTACTCTGCTCTTCTGCCCTGGCCGGGAAGCCCTTCCTAATTGGCAGCGAGGACTCCGAGCCTAAGCCCTCCCAAGCCCCAAGGCCCTACCTGCAGTCTCCATTGTAGTTCCTGTTTTTGGTTTAACCAAGTATATATTAAGGATCCTATAAGGTAGCCCAGAAAGGAACGACAATGGAGACTACAGGTAAGGCCCTAAGGGCCCAAAGCCCTAAACTCCAAAGCGCGGAGCTTTTGTTGGGTCGCCGGCCGAATCTGGCCAGCAATTCGTGTTTCAAGTGGGTGGTTGGGTTTAGGGTTTAGGGTTTAGGGTTTAGGGTTTAGGGTTTAGTGTAGTTGTGAAAATTACTGTCCCTTTTTGGGGGTTCCCGATTATAATACGGCACCTACTATTTAGGGTACCCAATTAGGGACCATGATTTTGACAACTACCCAAGTGAAGGATCCGTGAATCAGAGCTTTCGCCTTGGAAAGCCTTCCAGCCCTGACCTCTCAAATCAAACTCAGCCTGGAGAAGTAAGGGTTCTTGCAGGTTTGGTTTAGATACCAAAGGACTCGTACTAGTATCTCCCTTATGTTCCCTACATAAATGCCCCTGAGCCCGAAGCCCTGGCCAATTTCGCATGAAGCCCCCCCCCCCTCTGGTGCGGCTTAGGGCTGAATCCCCAAACCATAATATACAGCCGACTCAAGAGCATGGTAGGTAGGGCGTTTTCCATGAAGAACTGGTTCGGGCTCTTGGTGTGGGGCTTCGGGCGCAGCTTGCAGCCGGATCAGAGCAGCCGACAGTCGCAGAGCCCCAAGATAGGGTAGAGCCTGCTCAAGGGCTTAGGGGTTTAGGCTTAAGGGTTTAGGGTATCTAAAGAGCCGACCCGGTAGGTTTCAGCTAGGAGGGCTATCAGAATAGGATGGCTTGTGGTTCTGTCGGAATCAGCAGGTTTTTGCAGACCTGAAACCTTCAATCCCAATACAGGGGCCTGAAGACTTACCTTATGCTACGATATACAAAACGCTATTCTAATTGTTAAGGCCCCGATAGTAAGACGCAAGCCCTACAGCCCGAAGCTGACTCCTCCAGGATCTCGGAGACACCGCGCAGACATGCAATGTGGATGCTGTCCAGGTCCCCAAAACCCTATGCCCTAACTCTGCATTCTAAACCCGAACTCTACCTTATCCCCCAAACTAAACCCTATATACCCTAAACCCTGTCGTCCAAACCCTAGACCCCAAGCCCGAAACCAGGATAGACTTGTGAGGTCCCCTAGGGTTTGTGGTCTGTAGGGTTTAGAGTCTTGGGTCTAGTGTGTTGCATTCAGAAGCAGGCTCGCACGGATGCCTTAGACCCCTAAACCCTGAACCCTAAACCCTAAGCCCTAAACCCTAAACCCTGAACCCTAAACACCTTTAAACCTAGCAGCGATTCAAGGCTTGTCGGGGGATAAGAGCCGAATGCAAACTCACGGCCGATTGGGCCTTCCATCAGAGATCTTTGCCTGCTTCTTCAGCCTTCAAGCCTGCGCCCTTAGACAGGAATCCTGAACCGTGACCCCTAAACCTTAAACCCTGAACCCTATACAGCTTAAACCCTGAACTCAAAATTTTGAAAACCCTGAACCCTGTACACCTTAAACAGTGCACCCTAAACCTGAAACCGGGAACCCTCAACCCCCCAAAAAAAGGGACTCATTTGGGTTTTCTTCCCGCTGGGCTTTGTGGTGTTGGGGTTCGGCCGGAGGCTGGAGGACGGTTTAGGGTTTAAGGGTTTAGGGTTTCAGGGTTTAAGGGTTTGGGGTTTAGGATTTCGGTTTCGGAGTTTCGGAATTCAAGATCTAGAGTTTGGGAGCTTTCAGCGGGGGGTGTGTGTGTGTGTGATTCAGTCGGATAACAAGGACCCCAAAAAGGCTTAAATTTAAGGAAGTATAGTCCCCTACCCCCCTCCCCCTTACCTCCATTCAGGGGTTCATGGGTAGCTATAAGTGGAGTTATAAGTCCCGTAATATGGTGTTATAAATATAATTGTAGTTACTCTACTTATAACCCCACTTATAACTACCCATGGACCTCCAAGAAGGGCACGTCTGTCTGCAGCAGGTGGCGAATCTGAGGCAGCTGCACCCGATCTTGCATGACCTGGTGCCCCAGATCTGGACAGTTTAGATTATTTAGGGTTTGATGTAGGGTTTAGGTTTAGGGTTTAGGGTATTTAGGGTTGATTTAGGGCTTGGGGTTTAGGGTTTAGTTTAGGGTTGGCGCTGTGACGGGAAACGGACGCGTTGGTCAGTATTGGGGACTTCTGCATAATCATAAACTCAATTCCGCTCAACCCCCAAAACCCCCAGTAGACCTTACAGGACAATCAAACCCGTATGCCAATGTGTCAGCCAAATACAGAGGCACATGTCTGAACAATTTCAACAAGAAGCCTCCTTATGGAATCATAGTCCGTGTGTACTTGTATCCGAGGGTAAAAGGAGGGACCCTTAATAAGGACCCCTAGGTATATACCCTTAATATAGCTATTATATACCCATTATATAGCCCATTATAGGGTAGGGGTCCCCAATAAGGGTCCCTCCTTTTCCCCTTTGATTGTACTAGAGTATACAACACAACCCTATTGCAGTTGCTTTACGGCTGGCCAGGCCAGGGGGGTGCGCTATGGGAGGGGATGACGTCTTCACGTTTTTTTTGGCTTTGAAGGGTCTAGGGTGGTTTGGCGTTGGGGCTTCAGGATGCAGGGGGGTGGGTGTGACGGCATTTGGGTTCTAGACGCCTTTGCTTGGAGTTTTGGATTTGCATGGCTTGGCAAGTGAAGTTGGGCATGCTGCGGCAGTTCGGAATCAGGCTTGCCTGAGAGATTGCACCTGATGGACAAAGTCCTGCATCATCCATAACACAGGCTTACACCAGAAATTGTGTCGTTTAGGACACCTACATTGATGCGGATTTTGTGGATCAGCCGTAGTGATTAAACGTGTGCATTCTCTTGGGCCTTCATGTGGTAGCGAGGCCGCGTCCTACGGTCAGAGGCCTGTGCAGCTGAGAAGAACCTCAACATCAAGAAACCTAAGCCCTAAGCCCTAAGCCCTAAACCCTAAACCCTAAACCCTAAACCCTAAACCCTAAGCCCTAAGCCCTAAACCCTGAACCCTAAACCCTAAACCGTAGAGCCGAGGTGAACACCACCTTCTTCCGTCTGTTCCGGGTGAACCTTAAGAACCCGATTTGCCTGGTGCTCAGGTTTCAGATTTAGGGCGCCTAGGCCAGGTTGAGTCTGGGAGCTATCGGGTGACATGGGGGTTTCCGAAAATAGGGGACCCAAATATAGTACCCTAAATAGTAGGATCCTTATTACAAGGACCCCTAAATAAGGTACCCCTATTTTCGGAAACTCCCACATGGCAGAAGGTTCAGGGCCCATCTGTTCGAACTGATCGGACCACGCGCTCCTCATCTTTTGCTTGCAGCTTGCAGCATCTGTCAAGGTCCATACTGGAAGAGTGCAGATAGCGACAAGGAGGACACCTCCAGCGGCGGAACGTGCAGCGGCAGCTTGGTGGCGCATTCAGCTCAAACTCCGCGGATGCTTTCAGCAAAAGCACTTTCATTTGCGCCTGGTATTCCAAGAGCTTAGGGAAGGGTCTCTGCCAACCGGTAGAGGGACCTACATAGTCCGTACACAGCTATTTACTCTAGTATATCGTCCGAGCTCTTGTCTCCGCCACTACGAATGCGCTTGTGGTCTTCAAGTTTATAGTGGTCCATATCTACTACCATTATGGAATTTCTGGAATTTCGTCCCGAAGTACTAAGGAATCGCCAACTTACTATCCTTTTCCTCAGGGTTCCTTGTTTGACGAGGGTTTTAGTCACCAGCAAGACAAGAAGCTAAATGTGCTACCCCCTTCTTTCAAAACGACCACCACGTCTCCTGTTTTCTCCTTGTAGCAGGACATGACAAGCAAGCGCAGGTTCTTGGAGGTTCATGGGTAGTCATAAGTAGAGTTTTAAGTCCCCTAATATGGGTCATAATTGTAGTTATCTTACTTATAACCTCACGTATAACTACCCATGGACCTCCAAGTTATGCAGTGGTCACAGCGAGATGCTCCTACTGACAGTTCCCCACGAAGCATGGACCTTCTTTTCGACTCCTGTTGCCCTACTGTTACGAAATCCCCACATGCTGGTCCAGGCACGGTGCCCGTCTTGAGCAAGAAGCCAGCTTTTGCCCAAAAAGGCAGGGAGAAGGGTCCATAACTAGTCAGGGTTGGTTGGCGGTATAGGGTCCTACAAGGATTCTATAAAGGTCCCACAAGGGCCTGCTGAGGGTTCTATAAGGAGTCGAGGGAGCGTTTTTGTAAAGGTTCAGGGTGTTGTGGGGCTGAGTCCGGGTTGAGGGTTGAGGTGTTTCAGGGGTGCTGGGTTTGGGATTGAGTTTGGGGCTGAGAGTTTGCGGCTTTCTAGTTCCCTTGTCTTGACGTGAGGAGTTTGTATTTAGGGCTCTGTGGTGGAGGTTTGTAGGAACTTCGGAGGCTAGTGTGTGAATATGCACGCATTAGTTTGCTAGCACGTTTCTTCTTTGGCGCGTCTGTGAGTCTTCGACTCGTTCCGGCTACTGAGGGTTGTTCTGGACTGGGGAAAAGCAAACCTGAACCATACCGAAGCCTCTGCGCCCAAATTCGTGAGATTCCGAAGCGTTGACCCAAAAGTATCATTACATCACACGGCTATGAATCATATGATGTTGATACCAAAACGATAAGCATCCCGTGGACCCCAAAGCCCAGATCTCTCAATCGCTTAGCTATAGACCCTGAAGAGGACAGGGATCGTATCGAAAACGCTGAAAGCTCCACTGAAACTGCCCCTAAACCCCTGAAGCCCTAAACCCTAAACCCTAAAACCCTGCAAACGTAAGACGCCTAGAAAACAGCTTCTTCTCGGGGCCCTAATTAAACCCTAAACCCTAAACCCCCCTAAACCTTCTCTCCTGGCCTGCTGGCCTTCTAGGATGCAGCAAACTGTCGCCCCCTGGAAAAAGGAGTTAAAAAAAAAACCCTAAACCCTAAATGGGCCGAGAAACTCCGCCGAGCTCCTCTGTAACCCTTGCGGAACTCTTGGGCAAAACCCTGACGCCCTAAACCCTAAAGCCTAAACCTTAAACCCTAAACCTTAAATCCTAAACCGTGGATGGTGGGGTGAACTTCTTGCCGAACGCTCCTCTGCACAGCTGGCCTCGGAAATTGTGAACCATCTTGAGGAGAAAATGTGTGACCAGACCAAGGACAACTGGAATCAAGAACTCTATCAGCTTGTGGCAGGGGTGAATCAACAAGAGGGTGACTTTAAACCTTTCCAGTTGATTGACATGCGCACCGAGCTCCAGTCCATGAAGTGCAAGAGTGCGGTTGGACCAGATCTCGTTGGAGTACATCTACTGCGTGAAATTGCAAACCATGATACTCTCTGTTATGGGCTCCTTGATCTCGTGAATCACATTGTGCGCACTCAGGAGCTTCCAGAAATATGGGAGACCAGCTTCCTCGCGCTCCTCGCAAAGTGTAAATCTCCTACACGCCCCAAGGACCTGAGGCCGATATGCGTCTCCTCAGCATTTCAGAAACTCATCAGCAAAATGGTCTGCAGTAGGGCGATGCCACACATGAGGCGAGGATCCCGCATCTCATGTTGTGGGCAGGGGCGACAAGCGGCCGATCTAATCGGATGTATCTCGAGGATCAGAGATACAACGAAAGAATGGAAGCTCCCCTTTGTGCTATGCAAGTTGGATGTTGCGGGTGCATTTGATCATGTGGACCGCCAACAAGTTGCGAAGCTTTTGGTTGAACGTCTCAAAGGGGGTGAAATTAGTGCTGAACTGCGCTATCTTCTTCTCCAGCTGCAGGTTCACCACCTCTCAGGAGTTGCGCCGGGAGGACATCCAATATGTCTCTCTCCGAATGTGGGGATCAAGCAAGGGGCTGTCGAGAGCGCCGAGATTTTTGGGCTTGTCATGGACGCTACCTTGGGTGAGTTAGTCAACTGCCGTCAATGGAAAGCGCTTGGCAAGCCGTATCCGGAGGTGGATCTGGATCTCCTCTTCTACTAGGATGACGTCTTCCTCATTGAGACCGAGCTTGCTAGGCTGGCCAGGCGGGTGAGAACAGTAGATAGATGTCTGCAGAAAGTTGGACTCCAACTTGCCACCGAGAAGACCAAGATTGTCGCCAATGAGCTCTATCGAGGGGTCCGTCATGTTCAGATAGGTGACATGCACCTCCAGATTGCCGCGCCCGGTGAAGAATTGAAGGTCCTGGGACTCAGCTTCAGCCTCTCAGCCGATCAATCAGAACAAGCACAAGAACTAATCGGCCGAGCTCGTAGTGCAGCTGGAGCCCACCGCGACATCCTCAATGCCTCGGGGTCCTGGCATAACAAAATGAAGATTCTCCGAAGCCTAGTCGAGTCACAATTTGCTTGGACTGCTGGGGCCATCCACTGGAGCAAAGAAGATCTGAGTGCATTGAACCTTGTGATGTTTCATACATGTAGGAGCGCGTTCAACATCCGACGACTGAGAGACGAATCCTGGGTGACTTGGAATGCTCGTAGCCTGCGCTTTGTCCGAGTTTGGCTTGTGAACCAGGGGTTTTCAAGGTGGAGCGAGAGGGTGTTGACGCTACAACACACGCTACATGGGCATTGGGCAAGACACACAGAGCTCATCAATGGGGTGTCCTGTCCTGGGGCGCCTCTTCGTGCACTTACCTGGAGGAACATGCATTGGTGGCGCCGTGAACAAGCTCTTAGGCCCACAATCGGGGAAAGACATAAAGGTAGGTTCTACGCGTCGAACACCGAACGCCAACTTGCCGAAAGTCATGGCACCCTCTGGCAGTCTGTTGCGCTTGATCGATCAAAATGGTCGAAAGAAAGAGATGCTTATGTGCGAGAATGGGATGTGCGCTGGTGCAGTGGGAGACAATTGTCTATCAGGTGCTGACCACATGTGCATGCACTCTGTGAAGTTCTACAAGACTGAGATCTGCATGTGTCTTTGGACAGTGCCGACATGCTTGATACGATGCTTTTCCTTTGTCCCAACTTGACATATCACATATATATTTGAGAACCTCTCCTTCGACAGCCTCTGGCTCAACCTTCCTGTGGACAAACCCCCAGGCCTCCCTTTTCCGTGTTTACATGGCTCTGTGCCATCTCGTGTCGCTGCTGACAGTGTTTGCCCTGGGAGGATGGGGTGAAGATCAAGAGGACTTTTGGCAACCCCAACCGCCGGGTGATTGGGATGACATGGACCATACAGCCTCGAGTTCTACCACCTTCCCTGTGCCGCCAGCGAACTTTGGGAACACCACACAGGCTGCTGCAGTTGGACCTCCTGGTTGCGCCAATCGTGCTCTCAGCCATACAGAGCGAGTCATGTACATGGCCATGGCTTGGGATGAGGAGGTCTCACTTGCTGCGCAAGAAGAAGAATTTCAACGTGCTGTTTGGGATGCTAGCAAGCCCGAACCGCATGCAATGCCGCTACCCTCGTGGATGGATGAACCTACTCGCGACCAGCCGGCATCTTCCTCTTCTGACAGCCCACACTGGTGGGAACAAATCAGAGATCGTCGCAATCTTCGTGCCCGCCGACCATCACAGATGACTCCACACCCCAGTGGAGAACCGACACCTGCAGTATCTGCACGTGAAGGTGAAGGTGCTGTCCATCCACATGCTCCTGAAGTACCTTTCCCACAAGATCGAGTAAATGATCCTGGACTTCCTGATCAACATGATGCTGGACTACCTCGCCATTCTGGGCTACCTGTACCTCAAGGTGATCATGGTGCTTCAGAACCTCCTCTACAACCTGCTGCTGGACTACCTGCACATCATGTACATCAAGATGTTCAGCGAGCTCTCGGACCTCCTCAACAACCTACTGCTGGACTACCTGTACATCAAGTTGATTGTGTACCTTCGGGACCTCCTCTACAACCTGCTGCCGGACTACCTCGCCCTGCTGATGATCGCGAAGTCCCAGGACCTCCTCATCGATCTGCTGCTGGACTATCTGTACATCAAGCTGATGGTGAACCTTCTGGACCTCCTCTACCACCTGCTGTACTACCTGCTGACTGTGGTGAACCACCTCGGGAAGTATCATGGGGACATCCTGCACAACCAGTTGATGGACAACCCGCCAGAAATGCAGAAGCACAGCGCTCGCATGAAGGCGGCCGCTCTTCCTCCTCATGCTCTTCGAGCTCCACAATGAGTATGCAAACCATGTTGCCTTCGTGTGCACGGGACCCTGCCAGCCTCATGTCACGGGTGACTAAGACTAGCATCCTTAAAAGTCAACGAAGGTGGAATGCTACGACGCCAGAAGAACCAAGTTCTCCTGAAACACCTGCCTTGACGGCATCGGATCCTCCGAGCACGAGCTCCACCTCTTGGGTGACTTCGGAGACTCCTGATAGTGAAGTTGAACCGGGTGTCACACAACGGTTTGGTGAGTGGCGAACGGGACGCGATAGGTGGCATCGCTCCAATGGGAGCCTCATTAACAGAGGTAGGGACAACTCCTCACCATCAACATCTGTGGCACAGGACTACACATCGTCATCTTTGCCTTCTGTTGCTCCGAGTGGACCGCCAGTGTCCTTGGCAACTATTGAGGAGAACAGTGCCCTGTACCAGATTGATGGGGCGTCCTTTCGCCTAGGCGGCTATGCGGTCGACATAACTACCTGTTCTGGTGAACAAGCCAGCATCTGGGCCACGCCAGTTCTGGGAGGAGATGACACCACCACGACTGCCGGTGGAGATGTGGACTCAGTGGATGGTACCTCCTCCTCGGAAAATACGGATGCGAGCTTGGGCTTTTGGCAGGGAGGAGTTTGGCAACCTCGAATGAGAACAGCAGCTGAGCAACGACAACATCAAGGAGGCCAAGGCGAGCAACGAAGAGCACGGAAAAATCAACGAGTTCACGATTGGCTTAGTGGCAAATGGAAGCCAGCATGGATGCAAGCCTACATTCGTGATAAAGAAGCACGCGAGGCTGAACGACACCGCGAATCATCAGATACTACAACACCGACTTCGAGACAGGATGAGGCTTGGACACAGGACCCGGTGACGGGTTGGTGGCAACGTGCAGAGAATACGACAACCAGTACAGCCCCAATGTGCACATCTTGGTCAACGTGGTCCTCGTGGTCGTCTTGGAGCACATGGTCATCGCCTACCTCGTCGAGTTGGGACACTTCGGATGCTGCCTCTTCTTGGGATGGCTGGAGCAACTGGTTGGCGACGACCTGCCCCTGGGATGACATTTCCACTTCGAGCACTACGAGTACATCTACTGTCAGTCCTGGACTTGACCTTCCTCCTCCGACGGCGACAACTGTGGACCTTCCACCCAACGCTGGTCTTCTTCCTGAAGCGCGGACTCTTGACTACCTTGACTACGCAGGCTCCCTCATGCTCACTGGAGCTGAAAGACGGCGACTTCAAGAGGCCAATATACCATCAGCCATGATCGATCGTCTTGCAGATATTTTCCAGGCACTGGACACTCATCAGATCCATGAGCGCGGACCCGAAGCCAGGTGGGCACTCGGGCGCTTTGCGCGGCGAGCGGAGGAAGGCTTGGACTCACTGGAGACTGTCCTTGAATTGATTCAACGACGACTCGTCCCCAGAGGATTGTGGCCAGTCCAACGCATGCCGCAACTAGAGACGATGCGTTGGAATCTTTTTCAGTGGGCACGTTCCATGGCGCCCATCTTCGAGCGGTCACTTGAGCATCACCTTGCCACGCCGCTTCAACCGAACGAGAACACTCAACCGCCTGTCGCTATGGCTGCCTCCAGCTCGAATGGCTCAGATAGAGGACTTCCTGAGGCCCGTAACGTACCTGGAGCAGTACATGATGCCGACCAATGTGGAGACAGCTCAGTCCGTGATCGCTCTCGAAGTCCACAGCGTGGCGAAACCGCAGAATCCTCCTCGACTACCACTGACCAGATGCTGGAGGAGGGCTCGACGAACCATTCTGTCCCTCCTGGTACAACACTGTCTTTGGACGTACAGAGGGCGCTTAATGGAGAATTGTTGGGTGTCTGGGCAGAACCGTCAGAATCTGCTGCCTCTAGCTCGTCGACCACTACGACCCTGATGTGCCAATCCATGTCTACTTCCTCTGTGCTGTACGTGTTTGTTCCGGTGTGTGATGGCCCGGCCACCTCCTCAGAAACAGCACCAGATTGGGAAATGGAGATGGATGACTTCGCTTCACTGGTACAATGGCCACAATAGGATGACTTTACTACTGGCTCTTCTTCATCTACCACGACGACGTCCTCCTCGGTGTCTACCCATGCGGAGCTTTGGCCTTCGGACGTAGTCCGTGATGCTGTCAATCATGAACTTGTACATGCGGGTGACGTTGATGTGGTGGAAACAATTCACCGTCTCCTCGACCGTCAGAGGCATCTAATGCACTGTCAGAGGCTGCTACACGATGCCACGGAGGAGGCTCTTCGTTGGGTCCGACTCCCCCGTCATGGTGAAGCACTCAATGTAAACAGCCATGTGACCCGCATAGCGAGGACAGTTGAGCGAGAAGCTACGTGTGGTTCCGGAACTAGCTCCTCAAGTGGTGGTACATGGAATAACGCCCCTGTGACTTTCTTGTCACCTGGACTGCCTACCTCGGTACCACAGGCTAGAATGGCACTACCTGGTGTGAGCGACCACACACTGGCAGGTTATCGACGTCGAGCATGGCGAGTTCATCTAGGAAATCTCTTTCGCAGAGAAGAAAACCGTGTCCCAGTGGGTAGTTGGCCGAGTGAAAATGATGAAGAACTATATCTACTACAAGTGGACCCGGAACAGGAGATTGACAACTGGCCTGCTACTGAACCACGCCCTCAACATCCACGTGAAGGTCGTTTTCTGGATATTGGTGGAAGGCGACGCCAACGTGTCCTTCGGCCTCCCCCTAGAGTGGTACCTCATGGAACCAATGTGCTGATGGAAGGTGTCGTTCCTTCGCCTGAGTTGGGTTCATCTGTGGAGCAATGTGGTCTACCTGCCGTTCTTCATCCACCTGCTCTCCAGCCTCCACAAGTTGATCCTCCGGAAGTTCCTGAAGTCGCTGTCAATGGCACAAGTGCTTCCCTTGGAGCATGGTGTGGTCTACCTGCCGCTCTTTGTCCTCCTACTGCTCCCGTCCCGCAAGTCGATTCTGTCGAAGTTCCTCAAGTTCCTGTGCTTGGCTCCGCTGCTCAACCTGGCGATTCTGCGGAAGTACATCGTTCGGCTGTTTCTGCCCATGGAGTACAACACTCAGAACTGTCTTTGTCGAGCGGGCTCGAAGTTTCTACGACTGCTGAGCTTTTGTCTGTCCCTGATGAAACACTGGAATCCACTGAGCTCGTGATGAATTCTGGTGGTACTGCTTCTGCGACTTCCACCCTCAGTGCTCTGAACCATGAGACCTCTGCTCGAACTGCTGGTCGACGTGTTCTGAGTGAGTTTGCCCGTGACCGCAGTCGTAGTCGTAACGGAAGTGCTGACTGAAAAGCCAGACTGCTTTTCGCTGATGGCTGACTTCTCTGTGAGAGGCATTGATTTTCAGTGGAGGTTTGTCGGAGGTGCAAAGGATTTCTGAAAGAGAAGTCCTTTTGAGTGCACTCCTCGAGTGAGGCGGGCGAAAGGACGTCACTGCACTTTAAAAAAAAAAACCCTAATCCCTAAACCTTAAACCCTAAACCTTAAACCCTAAACCTTAAACCCTAAACCCTGACGCCCTAAACCCTAAACCCTAAACCTTAAACCCTAAACCTTAAATCCTAAACCCTAATCCCTAAACCTTAAACCCTAAACCTTAAACCCTAAACCCTAGACCCTGACGCCCTAAAGCCTCAACCCGTAGAGCAGCCCTTGTAGAACCCGTAGAGCAGCCCCTATGAATGCCTTAAAGTGCTGCTATCGAGAACTCTTGTACAAGCTTCTGCAGAGCCCGTCAAGAAAATCCTCCAACAAATCTGTATGCAAGCGTTTCTGGAAGTCTTCGAGGAGTCAAAGAGCTAGTAAAAGAACTCGTTGAAGTCCTCCAAGGTCTTCCTCCCCATAGAACCCTAGTTCTAAACCCTACTCTCTTGCAGACCCGGGAAGAAACCTTTGGGGACCCCCTGTTTAAAGAAACTTCTGCGACCCTTCAGAGGAACCCGCAAATGATCTTTGTAGAACCTTAGGGCACTCCTCGAACCCCTGAATCTTTGAGTAAAACCTTACGTGTGATCCTTAAAAGACTCCTTCAAAGAATCCTTTAACAAGGGAACCCTTGCAGGGTACTATAGGGTTCCAAAAGAAGTCCTCTTGAAGGACAGTGTAGGGTTCTCCCTAAACCCTAAACCCTAAACCGTGGTACAACAAGGTGCCCCTCACAGGAACCCTTTTCGAAAGTTTCAGCCCCTTGTAGATCCCGTACAGTACCCTTATAGTACCCTTACAGACCCCTTAAAGGAACCCCTTTTTAGAATCGGGCGGCCTCGGCGGATTCCTTATACGAACTCGACAGGACTGGGTGCCGGACTGGGCTTCAGCAGTGCCGCCGAGCCAGCGTCGGAGCGGGGAACTCTTTTGGCTTCAAGATTATAGCATATTATGACATAATACTCGAGTATATTATGGTATGTCATGGTATACTATAGTATATTATAGTAACATATGATAGTATATATTTTGATATATAATGTCATCTTATGCTGTGGTATACTACAGTATGTTAATTGAAGCTGTGGTATATTACATCATAGTCTGGAATATCTTGCTGCATTTAAAAGAATCTTGGGGATAGAGCTTTAGAGATAGGGTTTCAGGCTTCGGGGTCTTGGGTTCTATTCCCTTTTTGGATCTTCCCCGCTTTGGCGTCGAGGCGTCGAAGGTTTCCTGAGGCCGGGCTCGTCAACGCATGGAAAGGCCCCCCAAGCCCTCGGTACGCAAATCCCAACCCAACAGTTGCTGTGATTTGCGGCCTCTTTTGCAGGAGCCGGGTTGTTCCGTCGACTCCGATGGTAGCAATGCCGAGGGCGGCATCGACAGAAAGCTTACCATCCAGGAGAAGGCACTCATGAGTAATGGGGCTTTAAGACAGGTTTACGAGCCCTGTACAGGTGAGGAATCTCGCCCACACTCCGATGATAAGCTGTGTTATCCCTGACGATTGTAATCGTCGTCGTAGTACTGGTTAGTGCTGCTGTAGCACTCTTGGTCGGTACTACTTCTGGAGGCAGACAAGGCAGAGACTAGTGGTATGTGGTAGCAAAGGAGTACCGTTGGTCACATCCACCAAACGATTGGTAAACAATCGCGCGTATTCGGCCTTAGCAAGACGCTCCTGCCGGATTCTCATGATGACACACAGCCGTGCCACGTACCCTATCCATCCTTGCTGCGGGGGTGCACAACCAGAATCCCGATCTGGAGGATGTCACTTCCCCTCCGAAGACGGAAAGGATCTGTGCGTTGACACCCTGAACCCCAAACCCTAAACCCTAAACCCTAAACACAAGTGTTTTGCAAACCCGTGTCCGAGCCGGCTGTCGGAGCTTCCAAGCTTTCGACGAGCGAGTCTTTGAGGTTTAGGGTTTTTTGGGTTCCGAGGGTTTAGAGTTTCAGGGCTCAGCCTTCGGGGTTGAGGCTTAGAGTTTGGGGTTTCGAGGTTAGGGTTTTGGATTGAGGGCCGGGGTTTAAGGCTTAGTGTTGACAACATGCTTACATCCATATACATATATATATATATATATATATATACATGGGTGGTTGTCAAAATATGGTCCCTTCTTGGGTACCCTAAATAGTAGGTGCCATACTACATTAGGGACCCAGAAGAGGCAAGACTTTTGACAACTACCCCATATATATATATATATATATATATATATATATATATATATGTGTTTATATATATATATATATATATATGCATATGTCTATGAGATATATGCATATGTCTGTATATATATATATACACATACATGCATATACATATACATATATATATATATATATATATATATATATGCATATACAGACAGATAAATGTGCGCTTATGCATGCATCTTGCTGTTGGTCCGAAACTCCTGTAGCCTGCCGACGGTACAGGTCGCGCAGCTGGAGCGTGACAACGAGAAGCTCTGGCTGCATCGGCTTTTCTGGTTGTGAATTTTACTAGGTAGTATTATTTGAGAGACCCCTTAAAGGGTACCCCTTCTGAACCCTACTTCTGGCTCTCTTAAAAGGGACCTTATTGAGAGGGTCTTTGTCCGCAAGGGTCAGTAGAAAGCAGAAAGTTGGAACATCTTTATCCTCATGCCCTTGCAGAAAATTATAAGGAATCCCCGCACTAATCATCCTAAATCCATGTTCCAACTTTCTGGGGTTCACCATTACAGCCGGGGACTCTAAAGCTGGGCCGTTGTGAGCCTGCGTGTCCCGCACTGCACCCCCTTGCTCCGGAATACTTCAACTCCTGATCAGGATCCCTGTAGCATTTTGGTTTTGATGTTTTCGTGGCAATCCATTTGTTTGCGTGTTGGCAAGTGTATACCAGGCCCCCATTGAATCTTGGCGAGTGCATATTTTGGGTGTAAGTATGGGGATACTAGATGAAGCCTTCGGGATAGATCCGAGTATGCAGCTCGTGTAGACCATGGGTTGAGGGCCGTAAGCCCTGACACCCCCAACTTGCAAAGCCCCCAACGCCTCAAACCCCAAAATCCTGAAGCCTAACCCCTGTCACCAGAGGCCAGTTAACAGCACACGGAAGCGTGCACAGGGACGAAGAAAAAGTGTGTTATGATGTGGTCCATACAGTATGACGGTGAAGAACAGTACCTTGCCGTACGGTACAGTACTGCACCGTACAGCACACAGGACAGTTCAGTACAGTACCATACTCATAAACAGGAATAAGCGGCGTAGTGGAACATAGCATACTTAAGACAATAGCTACACACACAAGAGATAGGTGGATAGATCGGTATCTCTCTAATTGACGGATTCATTGTCCCAGATTCACAAAGAGCCACCAAGCCAAACCCCACACCCTAAACCCCCAAACCCTGAGAGCCCTGGTGGGCTTTGAGGTTGGGGTCTTGGATGGTTTTGGGGTCTAGTTTAAAATTTAAAGTTTAGGGTCTAGGTCTAAGGGTTTAGGGTATCCCGAAGTTTCATGTAAACTCTTGCAGAACTCGAAGTGACACGTTACATGTTCCTGCAGAACACACGACGGAACGCGCCCCAATGGAAGCTTAAACGGCCCAATTAGGCCCTAAACCCTATGACCCAAACCCTAAGCCCTAAACCCTAAGCTCTAAACCCTAAACCCTAGGCCCTAAACCCTAAATCCTAAACCCCAAGCCCTGAACCCCAAGCCCTAAACCCTAACCCCTAAACGCACATGAGCTCTAAAATATGAGGACCGAGCCCTGTGAGTTCGAGGCCAAGCGGGGCAGAGAGGTTTGGAGCACCCTAAACCCCTAAGTTCTGGAACCCTTGAACCCCTAAACTTCTGAAACCCCCCGAAAAACCGCAATCCCAAGACCCCCCTAAACCCTACAGCCTTAAATCGAGGGTTTGGTGCTTCAGTAGTCTGCGGGCTTCCATTCTTTTCGGCTTTTTGGCGGCATGGTCTGTTTTTGCGAGGTTGTTGAGGGACCCGTTCGTGGATATGCATGTATAGGCACGTATAATTACACTGGTATTTCACAGATATGGTGTCTAGGCGGCGAGTCATAAGTATCGTGTCCACGGATCGGGTGGCCCTGTCTTTCAATGGTAGTCCTTAGGTACTGCCCCCATACAGTAGGAGTCTATAATAGTGCTACTATTATGATCCTAATACAACTATATTACGAATATTATTCAACTATTACTGTGTGGGGGCCGTACCCAAGGTAGTCCAGGCTTTTCCAGGTTTTGGGACCGGGACTAGCGAGTCGGCTCCTTGCTCGGGTTGGACGATAAGCAAGATTGAAGTACACTCGGCGGGGGTTACAAGAGAAGTTTCGGGTTGGGGTTTGGTAATTCAGGGCTTGGGCTTATGGTTTTGGTTTATAGGATTGATTTTTTGGGTTTAGTGTTAGCGTTTTAGGGCTTTCCACAGGAGATTGAACGGTGAGTCCTTGCTCCAGGGCAGCCTCTCAGCCTCTTCTAAACTCGAATCACACTTGAAACAGAGGAATCAGGTCCTAGCACGCTGTGAGAGAAGCCCTTACCATCCTAAGTCGCCAGGGGAGGGGGTTTAGAAGATAGTCAAGGGTAGTTGGGGGTCTAGGTTGGCTCTGACCCTGAACCCGAAAGCCGAACATGCAGCGCCACACAGTAAGCCCTGAACCCTATAAGCCCTCAACCTAGACGAGGAGGACCTGCCTACCTACTGGGTGGACATGTGCTCTGGCGATCACATGAAGGGCGTGGATCTGGAGGCGGCTCGAGTTTGGGGTTTTGGGTTTAGGGTTTGGGGGGTTTAGGGTTTAGGGTGTTGAGTTCCGAGCTCAAAGACCTCACATGGAAGCCACGGAAGGAGATAGTTTTGGGGCCGGAAAAACTAGACTAGGGTGATCGTTACATTGTAGAAGATGTTCTACAAGAGTATGAGAGCAGCCTAGCAAGCGTTGAAAGCGCAGTTTGCCATCGTTTTGTGGAGAAATTGAGGGCCTTAAACCGTACACCTTCTACCTAAAGCCTATACCTTACACCCAAGCCCTGAACCTTGAACTGCAAGCCTTAAACTCTAAACCCTCACCTTTCAGCCTCCACCCTGAACCTTGATGCCATAAGCTGTAACTCCCATACCGAAAGCCTCGGACCCAGGTGCTTGGCTACCAGTTTCTCTGGAGCTCAGGGTCTAGACTTTTTGTTTGAGGTCCGAGTAGCCGATTCCTAACCTTCAACCCCAAACCCTTAAGGAAACCCCAAGCCGTAAACCCTGCGCCCCCTAAACCCGTTTAAACACATTCACCTAAACCCATCTAAACCCTAAACCTTAAACCACCAGCGTGTGCCTGTACAGGTAGACTTAGGTCATCACGTTTCAAAATATGAACTTAAACCCTAAACCATCAGCCCTAAACCTTAATAAGCCCTAAACCTTGAGGAAAGAAAGGCATTCAAAGCAAGACCCTAAGCCCGACACCTTCGACCGGAAGACCGTGAAGATGCCAGCATTCGGCTCAGAACCCCCCCCAGAAAAAAGTCGGTTTCGATAGAAGATCAGACCATGGGTTGCGGTGGGAGCTGCCAGCAGAAGACGGCGCGGGCGAACTCCTACTTCATGAAGGTGGGGATCATTGCTGCTCCCAAGGGTGGGTTTAGGGTTTAGGGTTTAGGGTTTGGGGTGGGTAATCCCAAGATCGATCCTCCTTCGTCTAGTCCCATTCTTTTGAGGTTGGAGGGGGAGGGTCTTGGGTTAAGGCTTTAGAATGAGTTGGGGTTTGGGATTTAGGAGTCGAGAAAAACCCTACACTCTACATCCGACACGCAAACCCCCCGCCCCCTCCGGCAACCGAAGCGAGAAGCAAAACGGTTAATATGAAGGCTCGACGGTAGTAGTATGGCCTCATGGTCCTTTCTTCTTCATATACTGAGATACCTCAACACCCGATCGAGTTATAAACTACACCGCCCGCTTCAGCTTGCCGGAGACCAGCACTGTGACGCAATATGAAAGAGCGGAGCGGATGCAGAAGTGGGAGGAAAAAGCCAAGGAACAGAGTGGGGGGGCAGCGGAAGGAGCGGGGTCAGGCGGGCAGGGCTAGGTGGAAGGTACCTGAGTTGCAGTAACCCCCAGTACGCCTGCGCCTGCGGCCCTCGGCGGATTAGCCGCACATCCCAACTCCGAGCCTTTTTAACCGTGTGCCGTAAACCCTTGCTCCCGAAACGCCCAGTGCCCAAATGGGTCTTGACAAAACTTGGAGTACCTTACTCAAGCGGCCTTGGCAGTATAGGATCCTGCTGCTTACCCTAAACCCTGGGCCCATTTCGCAGACCTTAAATGCTCGGCGGAGAAAGGTGCTCAAAACGGTTTAGGGTTTAGTGTTTAGGGTTAAGTTAAAATCTCGAAGGGTCTGTATCCGGGTCTCTGCTGCTTCAAAAGCCACGAAGGCGCCCAAGGTGGCTCCTCACTGCATTGGGCCGCTGGCGCCAGATCGGGAGATGCACGATGACCATGTGAAGGCCTTGAACCGCTACCTCAAGAAAGTGCGGAAGCATCCGAGCCTCCTTTGAATTTGCAACATTGGGCTGGAGTGTTCCCGCAGTTTGGGATTTGGGAGTTTCCGAAAGTAGGGGACCCTGATATAGTACCCTAAATAGTAGGATCCTTATTATAAGGACCCTAACACACGGTAACTTTAATTTTCGGAAACTCGCATTTGTTTCGGGCTTGATGACAGCCAAGAAGGAGCCAAAGGACTAGATGTGAAGCGGTTTTATCGGCACTCCGATTCCATGTCTGTGGTTTCGTAGGCGAGCCCTAAACCCTAAACCCTGAACCCTAAAACCCTGAACCGCAAGGACAACATCAAGACTTTCAGCCAAGCTTGAATCCGAGAGACCCAAGATCGAGCAGTTCACACCCCACATCCATAAGTGCAAACCACACCAAACCTGCAAAGCTTTTGCGATAGAGCCTACCAGCTGCTTGCATGATCTGCATGCCGCAGCTGCAACCTTCCCACTCTTTATTAATCATTCCCACGCATCCTGCAGCTCCTTTGGGGTGACTTAGGGTTTGGGCTTCAGTTGCATAGACAATCCTATGTCTACGGCGGCACCGGTACAAACCTATGGAAGCTTAGCATAGATTCCCAAGGACCCGAAGAACCTTGAAGCCCCCGGAACCCCCAACTGCCGGTCATGAACCTCGAACTCAGCCCAGGGCACTCTTCCAGTTCATTGTGGAGCATCGGCGAGAGATAGACTCGGAAGAGCTGGAAGAACGAATCTCCGCAGCGCGGCAGCATGAAGGACGGACATGGGCTGAATGACCATGCCCAATGCGTGGCGGGGTGCAGGATCGGGGGTTCAGGACTGCGCTGTCTTCTTTTTTTTGCGGGGGATGCCTTCGCTTAGAGGGTGTCGGGTGGGGTTATATATATTTTTTTTAAAATATATATATATATATATATATATATATAGATATACATATGCATCGGTGTATATATATATATATATACATATATATATATATATATACACATAGATACTTACGCATACCTTTCCGGCGAGTGGAAGGCCCTGGAGGGGAACCGCAGGTGCTGCAGAAAAGGACACCGTCGGAATATCGAACATTTTTCTCATTCCTGTGGATCACGTAAACGAGGGGCTTATTGAATAATTAAAGTATCCATGGCATGTTATTGTGTTGGGTTGGAGCGCAAGATTGGCTCCCTATGGTGAGTGGCTGATGTGATTCTCTAGTATTTTGCATGTTTTCTCGTGTTTCTTGTTTCTACTTACGTGTAGGGCTTCTTATCCTGCCTTCGATTCGGGGCTTTTGAGAAGCAGTTAGTCTTTTCAGATCCCCTTTCACTGACTCACTTCTTAGTCTTCACAGGCTTCCAAAAACCCCGAAACCTAAACCCCCAAACCCTAAAGGCCCCAAACCCTAAACCGTAAACCCTACACCCTAAACTTTACTATCCTTTCCTCTCCTGTTCAGTTCAGACTTGGGGCTTAGGGCCTGGCGCCTCATACTCAGGCCATGTCCTGTTTCTAAGGCAAGGGTTTCTTAGCAGCCGTGTGTGTGTGTGTATGTGTGTGTGTGGTTGGCTGTTATCTAGCATCCCTTGTCAGAGTTTCCAAATTCAAGTTGAGTTCGTGTTTGTTGTTCATGCTTATACTGTTCAGAGCATACCTTTCTGTGCAATCCCTACATAACTCTTCACTCACCCACTCGCAAGCACTATTCCAACTGATAAGCCCCCCGACTCCCCACAAAGTACGGTTTAAGCCGGGCCCGGCAGTGGAGCTTGCAAAGGAGGGGTTATTGGGCGGGCAGAATCCTTCCCAGCTGAAAAACCCGGATGTCCGAACGAGCACACGAGAGAGAGAGAGAGAGAGAGCGTTTTTGTTTAGGGTCATAATCCTCACGCTTGACACTCTTCAAGCTTCAATGCCGAGAGTTCGCATCAACCTGTATCTTAAGTCTTCCAGGTCCCAACCAGTAAATCCTCATCGTCCTCGAAGCAGTGGTTCATTGGAGACCCCAACCCCCAAAACCTGCACCCTAAACTCTAAACCCGAAACCTCAAAACCTAAACCTTAAAGCCTAAGCCCTACAAGCCCCAAACGCCAGACTCTAAGCCGCGAAGCTCAGGTGGTGCCGAAGCCCAAGCGACCCTTGGGAACTGGCACCAGAACCAGGAGTCATCAACTACTTTCTTGACTATTGGAATCATTTTCATTTGTATTCTTGTCATGATACTGTTATTGTTTATCCGCATTACTACTCGTGCTATTACGAGTTTTCAGTTTATTCGGATTAGGTTTGTATCGTTATGGACAAGGGTTATTAGGCAAAACACCATGTGATTATTTTAGTCTTAAGGGGTTTGTGTCGTTGTAGACAGCGAATATTGGGCAACACTTCGTACGATGATTTTAGTTTTGAGGGGTTTGTGTCGTTGTAGACGGCGAATACTAGGCAATTCTTGATACCTTTATCTTGTTTTCAACGGCTGTGGGATATACAACTTGTCTTCAGGGTAGAGCAAAAGCTGGTTTCGAGGCAGGTTCTGGCGGGGGAGGGTAGCTTATGTACACATGTACACACGTGTACATGTATTTATGTACTTGTGTATTCATGAATTGTTGTAGGTATGTAGGTATGTAGGTATGTAGGTATGTGTGTAGGTAAATATTCTAGAACATGTACTTGTAAATGCACATGCATATATACATACATAAATGCATGAAAGACATATGCGGTTAATTGAAAAAAGAGAGATCGATCGACAGATCGATCGATCGGTCGCAGACATGTAGTCAGATAGATCAAAAAAACAGTCGAACACAGCACTAATAGATGGCGTGCAAGCATGCACCCACAGATGCAGGTTTTGGAATGCGAATGCTCAAAGTCCTCGACCCGAAACAGGACTTTCTGATGACTTCCGGCGATGCCATGAGCTTCTGAACAGGCTTCTCACGAGCTGGGTCAGAACATCGCAAAGGGCTGAGGCTTTTTTTTTTTTTCCCATTTTGCCGTTGCTCCCGAAAGCCAGCTTCTTGATGCACTAAACCCCAAACCCTAGACCGCTGCTTTACCGAATCATATCTTGAAGCCGCAGAGTATACGACTGCGAGCACGCCTCCCTGCCTCCAGACGCCGTGCCATTGCAAATGCCTTAGTCGAGTAGCCTTTCAGTTAGTCTTGGTTAGCATTCTTAGTATCCGTGGTAGTTTTCGCATTATCAACTAGTAT